CTGGAGCCATGCTGAGACGGATGTTGGTTCGCCTGCTGTAGAATAGCTCGGCAGGAGATGTTAGAATGTTGCTCACTGAAGTATCAAGGTGTGTTGTCTGGGCTTTGGTGATATCAATGTACTTTAGAGCTGCAGTGACAGCGTCGATTGTCTTATCCACAAGGGTGTCATAGGTGAGACAACCAGAGTAGTAATCAACCTTGATTAGGGCATGTTGGCCTCGGAAATTCACCAAATCCATTCCAAGGATTTCCATTGGATGAGTTGCTGAGATCTGCCGTTCTGGAGGTCTGGGCTTCTTGTTGCTGTGCCTTTGGCACTCATTGCATTTTTGGACCATCTTACTGATGTCATCTTGTATCTTTGGCCAATACACAGTGTGTCTTGCACATTGGAGCATTGTGGTGAGGCCTTGATGCGCATCGTTCAGGCGGCTGGAGTTCCTGGTCTCATGCTTTTAGGGATTTGATAAACTGCTCTAAAGCTGATCAAGAATGGCCTTGTGCTTCAATATGGAGTCATTCAACACAGGGCATTGAACGACCTCACACTTGTTCTGTTCCTGTAAAACAGAAAAAAAGAATCATTTCATTCAACTGCCTGCAGAAATGTGCTCCAACTATTATTACAATGTAACTATGCTGCTGTCAGATGAAAAGTTTCCTCTGTTTACTAGAGTACTTGAAGAATCTACCGCATTTAAAAGTGATTGTAAGGAAAATGCAGGATTTTGTGGACAAATAAACCTACAAGTGTAAAACACTAGTACAGCAGAATACAAGAAATTGAACTCACTTTTAGGTTTCTACTTTGCCCACACTCTTGCGTGAAAGTCTCTTGCTCCTCCAAAAGCTGTCATCTTTAGAGATTTGCCAAAGGTCATCTGTAGACCCATCTTTGATGTAAATTCAGAATAAATATGATGTTAATTACGAATTCTGGACTGTGTTGTCTTGTATTGTTGCTAGTAAATAACAAGTAAAAGATGATGATAACTTACTACGGATAAGAAACTTTGGACATAGCTCTGATATCATTGTTGTAACATGCATGCATGAGTTGGAGTGAAACAAAGCAGGCAAAATTTGTACACATTAAACAAGAATTAGCAACTTGATTTCAGAAAGCAATTTTAGCTTTAGCTGTGCATAAGTATAGAGAAAAGAATTTCATATAGAAATACGATGTTAAATAATAAATAACAGTATTATGATATTGAGGTTTTCACCGCACATAAACTGAATTGTTTTAACTGCATTGTTAGCTAAAGGTGAAAATTTTAGGCCCTTACCCTTTCAACAAAGCCAGCAAGTTCACTATCACCAAAATCCACAAAACAGGACCTTCCAACTGCTTCTGACAAATCCCCAGATGCTATGTACTATTAGATCCCAGGGGTAAGATAAGGGAAGCCAGGTCCACCTTGAATTATACTGTGTGCTATCATCCTCCCCAAAACTTCAAATACACCTGTTAAAACATGTTCAGTGCTGTACACAGGTGTAAGTTTTGCATGTGCACCTCTGAATAAACAAAGATAGGATGAACCATTAGCAAGTTCAACAAAAACATCAGTGAATGCTTGTCAAAGTACTCTTCCTGTATTTACTGCTGGCTATCCTTTGATCTGCACTTTGATAGGTATCACTGGATCAAAATGAACACTGGAAAAAGTCCATAACTATATCCTCTCTGTCAACCTCTAGCTTTTCTGAACACATATGTGGCTTCATGGAGAGCTTAAGCCTGTTCAGAATTTGTCGTTCACTTTCTTCTTTTGCTTCCTTCTTCACTGTGCTTTCACTTAAACCATATACAGCAAGCCCAATGTCCTGGTGTGTTAGTAGCGAGTCCCTTACAGTTTCTCTGCTTGCACCTGTAACATACTATTCCATACCAATATACCACTCTGTTGTTTGTGATCTGGGAGTCCAATTCAAAATATGCATTATGCCAATCAAATGGATGAGATTCATTGCTGGAATCAACCACAAACTTGTCGCCACTTTTTTCCAGCGATTGACCATTTGCAGGTAATGTTATTGGATTTTGTAAATCAATAGAAACATTCATGTCTCGCAAATTTCTGAAGATCTGAAACTCGTGTGTATAATAAGATTAAATAAAATTTAGCAGGTAATTTAGTGTAAACAACTGAGTTGAAAGCGTAAATTGGCCACCGTAAAGAGTTAAAAAGCTGATGTTTCAAGCGTTAGCCCTTCGTCAGAGCGATTGGAGGAATTGAGGGTTGTGTGTGGGTTTATATGTAGAAAGTGGAGTTACGCTATTGGTGGGAGTATGGTGACGAGAAAACAAGAATAAATTAACTGAATGAAAAGTGCTCGTTGATACTGTGGGGATTAAGTGTGCCAATCTGGAAGATAAATTTTTGTTCTAGTGTTTTGCGGCTTTCCAAACTGCCTAGATGTAAGGAAAGGCCGCAAACTGCCATATGTTGTTTTGAGTTATTAGGGAGATTAAAGTGTTTAGCGACTGGTTTGGATGTGTCCTTGTCATTTCTTTCCACTTCGCAAAGGTGTTCTGGGAATCGGTCACCTAGTCGTCTTCCTGTTTCGCCAATATATAACTTATTACAATAAGTGCAAGTTATGTAGTAAATGACATTGGTGGAGGTTCACGTAAAGGGCTAACGCTCGAAACGTCAGCTTTTTTACTCTTTACGGTGGCCAATTTACGTTTTCAACCCAGTTGTTATACTCCTACCGACGCAGCACCACAGTTTCTTTAGAAACTTACCCCTTTATATATAAAATTTACATGTCAATCAATTTATTAAACTCTTGTGATACAAAAATGTTTATTTGGAGGCTCTTTTGATTGTGTCATTTTCTTGTTCTCTGTCTGTGTGTGTAAAAGTTTGATGATTTTTTCTCCTTTATCCTCTTGGAGATTGATATAAGGACCAGTGTCTTGTTTGTGCTGTTTAACACCTTTCGTGTCCTGTTTCTGGTGTTTTGTTTGTTTATGATTATTGAATTTGTCATAAATTTTCTCTCCGATTACTTGGCCTGTTTTGCTCTCACATGTTCTGCACCTTTTTCAATGGCCTTTGTTTCTGCCTTAGTAGCGATATCTTTGGCAGCTTTTCCTATCAGTTGGAGGCAACCTTGCTTGCGACTTGTTTTAAAATATCAAAAATACCTTCACTATTTTGAATCATTTCGGTATTGTGCCTCATGGTGTCCACATTGTAATATTTATCACGACCATTTTTGTCTCTGATAAGTCGTACTCTTGACATGTACATTATTGTTACATATTTCACTCTTCTTTCAAAATCAAAATCAATGAAATTGGAATGTTGTTGAAATCAAGAGGCCTGTCAAGTGCATCTGTAAGATGTATATGCATCTCTTTTATAATGTTTGAATTGATTTTATCGTACGATGCTCTTAGGCTCAATATGAAATGGAAAACTCGAAGGAAGATTATTGACAGATTAACAATACAGAATATTGGAACTAACACTAGAAACAACACTATCACAATGATGTTCGTGTGAATGAAAATGTTATCTACCAATGTTGTGATGTCTGGAAGTTTTGTTCCACATGATGTTGCTGTGACAATATCCTCGTAAAATCCAAGAAGGTCTGCAAAGTTACCAGTTCGCAAATCCTCTTGGTAATTTGTTTCAAGCAGTATCAATACTCTGAAAAATTATGGAAGTATTTTCACCTTAATGCCTGGTTTTGAATGCCTCTTTGATTCAAGTGACTGTTGTATGAAGTAGCTGATATCACCATACGAAAGTTTCTCATTCGGTAATGTCACGGTTGTCCAAGTAGTTCCACTATCATGATTATTTCGATGTAATGTTGTTGCAGTTTGCTGAAACATTGTAGGAGCTCTGACTCGTGATAACAGAGTTGATGGCAAGATAATTTTAGTTTTCGTCAAGTGTCAATTGTGGAGTGAAAGTGTTGGTGAAATCATGGCTTTTGGACTTTCTTACTCCATCAACTGAATTCAGAAATAATGGTATATTCATATATTATCAGCCTATATTAAGTGTTGCCGGATGTATGCATCATGTTATGTTTTAGTTATTACAGACAGTTTCAACAATTCATCAAGTATCTGCCATACCTCAATTCTCAGTTGTAAGTTATTGTTACCTGCACGACGTAAGTAATATAGTACTTGGAGCTTTCTAAGCACATTCACCAGATGTTAGTAATTCCGTGTTACAATTATTGGGCGGTAATTTTGCGCTGGTGTTTTTGCATAATAATCCATAGTATATTAATTACATTATGGATCCATAAAGATGAGAGATTATAAAATATTAAGATCAAACAATTTCTATAGTATAAGTGCAAACAGATAAAGATATTAAAATGTGATAAATGAAAGAAATAATATTGACATACTGCCCTGGAAATGGCGGCATTGAAACAGAAAGTCGATCAGGGACTTTCCCTAGGATATGGGTCATAGATGGTCTGATTTTTTTGACCAATCATTACCTTCACATTTTGTCTACACAATTATGTAATTCTTCACAAAAATTTTATAAAGTTTACTCGAAAAGTTTAGTTCTGTGTTTGATAATGTCTGTATGCATATGATATCATGCCACATTTGTGAATGTATGCATATGGTCAAAGCAGGATGGTGATACTTTGTTTAGCTTGTAACTACCAAGTTGATGATTATTGTCCTTAATCGTTTTCATTTTATGATATATCTGTTCGTTGTTGAATAATGTATTTTCATAATCACCGTGTTTGATATCTTTTCTCATTACATTCCTTTTGATTCCTTTTGCTGTTTTGTCTCCTTTGCTTTTTTTCTTTTACGTAGCTGTACACTTCTGATTGTAGTCTAATGAATTCAGTAACTGGTATACCTGCCACCTCATCTTCGAATTTTCCAATGACTCTCTTATATGTTTTGTCAAAATATTTGGAATCTTTCGGATATTCATAGTTGTTGAGTCTGTCTTTGCCATTCCATAAATCTTTGTAAACATTCTTTGTTTCTATATGATATGTTCTTCTATGCCTAATTTAATGCATAAATTTGTTTAATGTATTTTCAACCCACAGTTTAACACTTTTGAGCTATTTGCCAAGAAAGGTTTTTGCGCTGTTCTCGGAAAATGGCGGCTGTGGAGGACTTGGATATGTGCTCTTCTTGTTTCAAGGAGACAAAATACCGTCGCCTAAAGTGCCATAATCCTTTCTACAACAACTGCTCTGTTTTTTAAAGTGACGAAGATTGCCTAGGCTGGGTCATAGGAAAGTCAGTTGTCTACTGCCATGTATATTTCCAGGAGAAAAATTCTGCAGCAACAGTTACAAAATTCCTGTGGCATTTCGGACAGTTTACCTACAGCTTCTTCCAAAAAGTGAGGAAGACACTGACAATAGTTCAGAAGAGTTCCGCTACCTTTGTAGACTGTTGAACACAATTCCTCGCGGGAATGTTTATTCAAATATATACCGTTGTACGGATCTCTGAGACTATTATGTTTTAATTGATATATATGATATATTTCTATGGCATATGAAACTAGATAATTATAAGCTACTGCTGGCATTTCTTTACATAGAACTTGGAGTGATTCAGAAGACCGAGGTTTTCTTTCTTGCGTGTTTGGGTTAATGATCAAATCCTCGCGGGAATGTTTATTCAAATATATACCGTTGTACGGATCTCTGAGACTATTATGTTTTAGTTGATATATATGATATATTTCTATGGCATATGAAACTAGATAATTATAAGCTACTGCTGGCATTTCTTTACATAGAACTTGGAGTGATTCAGAAGACCGAGGTTTTCTTTCTTGCGTGTTTGGGTTAATGGTCAAATCAAGCTTCTTTGGTATAGTGACTCCTCGCTCTATCACACATTATGTAGGACAATATATGCAAGAGTTGCTGCGCAGACCCGATCAGTTGGCTTTCAAACTTTCTTAATTATACACACCATCGTCCTTTTAACTAGTCATAAGTCCCCCTTAGTGACCATGCCTGCTCAACTTAACCTATAATTAAAGTAGTTCTACTGAGGAGATGGCATGGCATTTGTAAATGGCTTCATGAGCCACTGGCACAAGGGAAATGCTGAATCACCAGTAGTTAGTGGTGACATCATCAATGGTTTTCCCCATCTTTGGAATGTAACCCTCTTGGATTCTTGTCTATAAATTTGTAGCCTTAAATATTATGTCATCATGTGAATTGCTGGGAAATCTGCTACTGGCCCAAACAAATCTATAGTGGGTATCAACCATGGCCAATAAGACTATCGAGTAGTTTTTAAAGTTATGATTTTCTTTGCAAGACTCAAGCCCACCTTGCTTGAGACAGTCTTCCACCACCCAGTGTTCCTTGTCAATCGACGACAGGAGCGGACAGGAGTAATGTTCAACATCATATCCAAGATACAGGTCATGATAATCACCCATTGTCTTGAGATTGGATGTTTATCACACTTTCTGCGCATGTTCATACTCTTTTTCAGGCAATTGTGTGTCATTTAACTCATCAAAACTGCACATATAATCATATGGATAGACTCCCTTCTTTTTCACGGGATGTAATGTGTATTTCAAAAGCCTCATTTGGGAGATTACTCACAAGCTTGTCCAAACTGCTTCACACAAATTGGAGACTGTCAAGGAAAACCAAATGATCACTAAGCATGAAAGCCACATATTTTTTTTTCCATATTGTTTGGAATAACATTGAGTTTCATCTGTTGTTCAACTGTATAGTTTTTTTTAACAATTTGACCGATTTCTTGCATAATAAAATGGTTATCACAACCTCTCAGATTATGGAAAATAACAGGAATATTCATATTTCCGACATCATTACGATCTAATTCGCTTCGCTCAAATGAACGTAAATTATTTACCGCTTAAATAACCGCAAAAACCAGGCGAAATCAGATATGGGTGGATTGCATGCGAACCCTAACACAGGAAATATTTATTTCAAGTGATAATCGAGTGCTTGATTTTCTCTGCTATGCAAAATATTGCTGTTAGAGGCCATGAAGAAAGTCGAAACGATATCTGGGAAGTGTCAGATATAAACAGAAGAAACTTTCTCGAGTTACTCCATTTACGATGCAAAGACTTGCCATAGCTGCAGTCAAAACTCCAGGCGCAGCTCCAGTTGCATGCTCAGTGGATATCACCCACCATCCAAAATGAGCTACTTGCAATAATGTCAGACCTTGTCAGACCACTGCTTCTACGGAGGGGGAAGTTCTGTACGAGCTCGCAAAAACAGCCATAAATAAGCTGGATTTAAGGTTGGAAAACATTATTGCCGAATGCTTTGATGGCGGTGCAAACATGAGTGGAATTCGCAAGGGCCTTGCTACGAGTATGAAGGAATGTTCACCTCTCGGAATTTATGTACATTGTTATGGTCATCTTTTAATTTGGCTCTTCAGGACACCATGACTGAAATTGAAACTCTCCGTAATGCCCAGAGTCTTTACAATTTCTTACACGGGAGTACCAAGCGCCATGCGTTATTCAAGGACATTGAAGTTCATGAAGTTCTTTGAGTACCACTAGATGGTCCTGTCGCTGGGCGGCGGTGAGGGCCGTGCTAGAGCAAGTGCCGAGGATAATGGAAGTCCTGGTCACTTTATCAAAGGATCGCAATCCCAAGACCTACAACGAAAGTAATTCGCTTCTCCACTCAATTTGTGACTTTGAGTTTGTTATGGCTTGATGGTTTTGAAGCTCATCTTATCCAACACTGATAATACGAGTAGATATCAACAGGGAGAACAGATGGATGTCATCACTGCCAAGAAGACTGCTGATGCTGTCGTTAAGACACTGAGCAATTGTCGCAATGAAGAGAGCTTCACTCAGATGTGGTCACATGCTGATGTTATAGCGCAAAAAAATCAGAATAGGAATCGAGGGTACGAAATTTACCTTCAGAGATGCCAAGGTGCCTCGAACCAGACCATCACGCCGACTTCAGGGCCTTACTGGCGAGACACCTGCTGCAGTGAACGACAGCTCACAACAGACGGCAAAAGACCACTTTCGTATCACAGTTTACACAAGTATTGACAAAGTCGTCAGTGAACTTCAATCAAGGTTTGAAGGCAATGACCATTGATTTGTTTTTGGATGCGAAGCCCTCAAACTTGTGCAATAATTTGCTGCTAAAGTGACGATTTTAACGGAATTTTGTTATTTGTATTTTTCTCTGAAATAAAAAGATATTTTGCCAAAAAAAGCATCCAGTGATTTTAGTCATAGTCTAGCCTATCTAATATTAAAATATGAAAGAAATCGAATTTTTCGCCCTTGCCGCGAAATTTACAATTTGTCTGATTTTTACAGACAAGCGCTCTTAATACCCCATCCGCCGTCAAGAAAAACAGTAACGCAAATGCCCTGATGCCTCCAATGTTTCTCAAGACGATAATCCGAAAGGTAAAACTGTAAACAAATAGAACTTCACTTTATCGGAGTTGGAATGCTTCCAGGAAAAACCAAAATGTGTTTTATGGCCCTCAAAAGTTCCAACGTGGTGGTACCCACCTTTCAGGTCAAAGGAAAACATATATGCACCCCGCGTGAAGTAAGACAGTCTTCGTACTTATCGTGCATCTTACGAAGAAACTTGTTGACGTATCTTAAATCAAGAATGAGCCTCTGCTTTCCATTAGCTTGAACAGATACGGTCAAGGGGTTGACCACTCGGGGCAGTACCTCGGTTTCTACAACACGACCCAACTCAACTAAGTCTTAAAAGCAGGTAATTTAGTTGTTAACGCTAAATTACCTGCTATACTCTCCCACCGACGCAGCACCACAGTTTCTTTAGAAACTTACCCCTTTATTCATAAGTCTTAAAAGGCCTCCTCAACAAACTCGACATGTGAAAGAGACGAGCTGCTGTTTTTGAAAACTGCTGGTTCCGGAAAACTAACGAAAGGTAAACGAATATCCCCTTGCTATAACATTAAAAATAAAACCAGGGGTTTCAGTACACTTCCAAAATTCGACGTTTCTACGAAGATTTCTCTTGACGTTGACACACGGCGGACTAGTACTTTATTCAAACTCAAAAAATTCGCTATCGCAATGTATCTGAACGATACTAGCAGCTTCCTCATCAAAAATATTACTGCTTTGCATTGGGTTGAGTGTGGGCTCCGCGACTGGGTCTGCAGGGGCTGTATGAGCATCCTGGAATGAATGTGGTGCGGTGATAAATGCTTCATGGGCTATCCCAGGAGGCAGTGCATTCTCTTGCCCAGCGGCCGAGTTTGTGGCATTTAAAGCACCTTGTGCAGTCAATGTAAGCATCACTACCGCCTAAAAACAAATGAAATAGAAGCAGTATCAAAAGCAGATAAAATGAAAAACCACTCGTAGAACCTGAAAAAACCCGAAAATACAACATTTGTCGAAAACACTCTCTCAGCACAATTTGACAGACTATCGAATAATTAACACGTATGTATTTTGATCTAAGCTTATTAAATAGATGAGGTTTAGATTGTTCGAATATTGTAAAAGATATAAAAATGTCTCTTGATTTACAGAACCCAATAGTTACACCTGCTAATAACGCAACCCCCCAAAAATGAGGCTCATCCTTTTGTTTTGTAAAGGGGCTTTCTTTCTACCAATTCACTCACATTCAAGAAGGAATCATTGAAGCACATGGCATGACCATATTGGGAAGTGTCAATCACACATCCCCCTTTCTCCAAACAAGATAGTACTCTGATACTAGTTGAAGTGTTCTGAGATAGTTTCCTATGACCTTATAGAATGTCACTGTCCAGTTAACGAAAATAAAAGAAACAAAACACGTAATGTCTATCCATGAGTGTTTGAAAGTTGGACAAGTCCAACTGAGTCGGCAGGTTAACAATTCTGCTTGAACATGTTTTGATGACGGTGGACTGAGGGCTTGCTAAGTTTGATGTTTTGGGGTTTTTATGAGTGAGACTGATTCCTTCTAGTTGAGTGTTCGAAGTTCCTTCCACGTTCGCTCTTGGACTTGAGACAAGGTCACGCCTGTTTTTTATTAATAGAGAGTTTTCTGTCTTGATGATGAATGATTGTGGTTCCTGTGATCTGCGAACAATGACTGCAGGGGTTTTCGTGTCTAGTATCCAAACTTTGTCGCCTATGTTCAAGTCGGGGAGGACTGACGCTCGATGATGTTTGTTGTGGTTCTCAGTTTGTTGAAGCGTGTACTTGCGTTCTGTCTCCTGTGTTTCAACTTCGGCAGTTTGGGAATTAGCTTGTCTGGTAACATTGGAAGGGTAGAGCGTATTTTCCTTCCAATGTGTAGTTCTGCAGAGGTGTATCCATTCTCCAGGAGTGTCGCTTTTTATAACAAGAGAGCTAAATATGGATCTTCTGATGGCGTTTTCTATAGTGGTACTATCGAAGGGTGCTACTTCAAAGAATCTTGAATAGTAATCCACAGCAATGATGTAGGTCTTGCCATTGTGGTTAAATAATTCTGTGGCAACCTTAGGGACTTGTCAGAAATTAGCAGGGGGGGAGGGGGGGTGGAAACAGAGGGGGGGGTCACAACTTTTTGAGCCTCAGAAAAGGGAGGGGTCATGAAAAATGGGCAGTTAAAAGGGGGAGGGTCATGCAAATATATGCCCATGATCATGTAGAGGTTCACCCACAGAAGAATCAAAGTGCTCTGTGAGCAAACTCGTGAATTGACACATGATTTTTTAGATTATGTTTAATGTTATCTGGTTTAGGGAATTTTGTGGTTGATTGTCATATCTAGAGTACGAGCAGTAGTTCAGTGTTCGCTAATGTAGCAAAGAAACAAAGTAACGTTGGGATAAGAAGGCATTACAATTGAAATGATCATGCTATTACATTTGACAAGGTGGATGATATCATGTGTTTTAAACGTCTATCATTTTTGTTTCTGGTTCAAAAGAAAAGGTTGGAAGTAAATGTGGGTGAAAAGTGAAATTTACTGTCTTTCGTTGTAAATATTAGAAAATCAAGGCAATACTGTCTTAATGAAAACATTAACGATTCCCTCTTTATCAAATGAGACAAACGGGAACGAGTTTTGAGTGATATAACTAAGCCAAGCCTGCCACCGTCATTTTGGATCTCCGCCTGGGTAGATTTAAGTCACGTGCTAGGCAACGTATAATCAATAACAAGATAGAATTTCATTTCAGGCCTATTTATCAATTTTGTGGTGTGTAACTTTCGCATTTTAGTACGTTGTATGTATGTTGAATCTTCAAATTGTCTTGAAACTTAAAAGAAAATTGTTCTTTAAAAATTCACTGAAAATCGGTAGCTAAAATTGTTTGTTTAGGTGTTATTTGATTTTCGTGTTAACTTGTTATTTCGTCAGTCGCCGGCATCTTCTGTTGCTTCACACACACGCGACGAAACGTAATGATCAATTTTGTCCTCGACTAACGCCATAACAGAAAAAGCTTTTGAACATCTGTAAACTCCGAGCGCTTCGCAGTAAGTGATATTTTCAATGAATCTTCGGATTGTTTTCAAGTTCAAGGATTGTAAATTACAATTTTATGAAAAACGAAGGTTGTTCTGTTATTTCAGTGTGAATCCTTGCATGCCTGCCAGTCGCCGGCGCCGCTTGTTGAAACTAAAATGAAAAAAAAAAACTCTTTTAAGATTATCATTGGCTTCTCTTTCACCCCACCACTATTCTTAGCAACAAAGGTCGCCATTTCGTCTGTTTATTGCTCGCCAAAAACTATCAAATGCACTCAAAAGCCTAAAATCTAAAAAAAGTTTACAGGAATCGACCAATCGAGCGAGCGAGCGAATGCCATTCCCCACACCGTATCTATAACTCGCTCTTGCGCATGCGCGCAATTCACGAGTTAAAAAGGAAGTTCTTTATTTGGCAAAAAAAAGAGAAAAATACAACGGTTTACGGAACGTTATGGATATAAACTGTGAAGTACTATAGCAAGAATTTAACAAACATGTACTTTTCATTTATAACAATGCTATATAGTCTTATTGAAATTATGAATAATGTTGTTATTAATAATGTTAGTAGAGTTCTGGCTATCCTATTCATCACTGTCTTCAGCATCACCATCAATGCTGCTGTGAGAATCTTGATCATCATCATTTATCTCATCAGCATTGATACAATCACTTGTATTGGGAGAAATAGGAGAGTCATGTGATCAGTCGGACTCTTAATGCTGTCATCGAAAATGTATGTATGTAGCATGACAAAGAACAGATTAGAAATATATTTTGAGTTTTCATAATACTGACGCACCCTAGTGTATTGCAAGAACTAGATTTTATCATTTATACAAGAGGGGGAGGGTCATGATATTTTAGGCCAAGCTCAAGGGGAGGGTTAGCAAATTTCACTCCCATTGCAGGGATGGGTCACCTAATTTCCGAACCCAAATTTAAAATTCCCACCCCCCCTCCCCCCCTGCTAATTTCTGACAAGTCCCTAATATGCCAGGGTCTTTCGGGAAAGGTCCTGGCTACCATGAGCTTGTTATGGTTTTTCCGATACTTGCAACAG